AGTCAAGACACCGAAACCATCAAAACCCATCCCACTGGTGGTCCAACCATTGCCTTATAAGTCAGTTACTCCTCAGTCTGACAATCCACACTCTGTGAAGCACCAGTCGAATGTAGCTACCCAAGTTGGCAAGTTTTCTAGGCGTTATGACAAACGTCCCATTTCCATTAGCAAAATTAAAGCTCATGAGGTGTCCAAGCCACAGAAACCCTACATAGCATGTGCTGGCTGCCCTGTTAGCCATCATCGGCCAGTTGATCATAAGATAAGGGAAAAAGAAGTAAATAAATTAAATACTAGACCCGGAGCAGGAAAGCCCTTTGATATGAAAGAGACGAAAGCACCTCTAGGCCTTCTTTCTAAGAGAAAGTCAAGTATGTTAGACGAAGCTCCTAGGGGTAGGCCTAATTGGTGTCAAGTGGAAAGCCAATTTCATCCAATCCCTAATTCTAAACTGACAGCACAGCAAGGTAGTAGGCATTATTCTGCGCATACACTATGTAAACCCCTTGTCAGCCAGCCCACTTCTAATATTCTGTCGACTGAAAGTTATAGAAAATAATAATAATTTTTGCTTTATTCCAAAAACAGTACTAATGATACAGCAAGGAATTTTCAGCATTCAGTACAATATTGCATCTAATTTACTCAAAAACGACAACAACAAAAAATTAAAAATACACAATACATAATAGTAATAAAACGATTGTTGTAGCAGCTACGTAGCAAGATACTGTATGCCATACGGAGAAAAATATGTATAAAGTACAAAATTGTAGTAATAATAGTAATACCAACTAATATAAAATAGCAGAGTAACGATTTAAACGATAGAAAGTGTGACACCATAAAATACAGAAAGATGAACGATGAAAGGGTCGATTCACTCTGCTAATTACATAGTAACTTATACGTTTCACGTCTAACAGAGTCTTCGTCACATAAAGTACGCGCTAAATAGGGTATTGTAGAATTTCTATACTTAGTGGTACGAGCACATAACTTTTTATATTGACTTCTCGTCCTACCTGATGAGATACAAGGGGACAGGTGTGAATAAAGGGGGTGCAGAGGGTCTGACATTATAGCATTTGCCCATTTCGTACAGGAATTTATATGCCTCTCGACTATAGTATTAGCGAGCTCATGCAATGGCAGACCACAAGCTCTACTCACAGCATTTAATACTCTTCGTAATATGATATAATCTCTTTTGAGAAGCTCAGGAAAGACTAATGGAGAGCAATGGAGTACAATAGGTAAGATACAGGAGTTTAAAAATTGCAAAACTAAAGGTTGGTTGATACCTGATTGTCTTAACTTTTTAATATAGAAGGTGAGACGAAACATTTTCTTAGAGATTGATAAGATGTGTGATAACCATGAAAGGTAAGAGAAAAGAACTAATCCAAGGTATTTAATGCTTGACTTGGTTTCAATTTCCGTGCCATCTATGCTACAGGGATCATGCAAGCTAACTAGTTCAAGTAAGTCACGTCGATGCTTGAAAGTAAAGTCAAGCGCCTGACATTTGGAAGGATTTAATATAAGACCATTCGACTTGGACCACTTGTTGATGTCCAACAGAAAGCTATTAAGTTTGGAGCTGTCAGACTCGGAAGTGATAGGGAGTGATACAGTCAGATCATCTTCATATTTGACAAAGTTAGTTTCGTTTGAATGAGGCAGGTCATGTAGGAAGAAAGAAAAAAGAAAAGGAGAGAGGACAGCACCTTGTGGAACACCGGACTTTGTAAGCGAGGTAGAAGATTTGCCGTTATATACAGTATACTGTATTCTATCAGAAAAATAGGAATGCAACCAACTCTTTGCCCAGGATCCTGTTTGTGTCAACGATAGCTTATTTAACAAAAGGCCCCTAGGTACAGAGTCAAAAGCAGATGTGTAGTCTAAGAAAGCACTACGAACATATTTAGCACCTTTGTCTAAACAAGAGACAACATTGTGACATAAGACGACCGCAGCATCCAAGGTACTTCTACCACGTTTGTATGCAAATTGTTTAGGATCATTAAAAGGTTTCAATGCGGGTTCAACACGAAGTAAAAGTAATTTTTCCATCAATTTTAAAAAGGGAGAAGTAATTGCAATAGGCCGAAATTTAATGTCAGAACCAGAAGATGGTTTTGGAATAGGGATAATTTTAATGTTTTTCCATGCAAAAGGTAGAACGTTACCGGAAAAAGAGGCATTAAAAATGTTAGTAAGAGGATAACACAAAATATCAGCACAGTTCCTGAGGACAATGGCGGGTATGCCGTCAGGACCAAGGCTTTGAGAAGGCTTAAGAGACCGGAGACATTTAAGCACATCAAGGGTATTAAAACCACTAAAGTTATTGTCAATATGATTTGTATCATTTGGAAGGGTATCAACAGAAGAGCGTATGAAAGATTTATTAAGAGTGTCGACATTAAGAGATGGAACAGAAACACATCGCTTACCGTTAGTAATTTCTTTGAAGAGTTTCCACAAATTAGAAGGGATTTTACATGACAAAAATCTTTGATTATATAAAACATTTAGTCTTTTCATTTCTAGTTTTATCACAATGTTTAAATTTTTACACCAGGCCTATCATTTGTTTTGAACAACAGTTTTTTATTTCTACGTAGCTTTTTCAGATAGGGCAAAGATAAGCGATCAAGTCGAATGAATAATGTTTCTTTAGGACAACATATTTCGAAACAGAATTTAAGATAATCGGTAGTGTTTGAGATTGCTTCATCTAATGTTTGTTCTGTAAATAAGTCCCAGTTAGTGTCTTTCAACATGCATCTGAGCTTGTTTAGGTTGTCTTGTGAGTAACATCTCCGTTGAACTTTACTGTAGAGGTGAGAGAGGACACCTTTGTGTGATTTGGAATATATTTTAGGCAGTACACGTATGATGCAGTGGTCAGAGTTAAGTAAAGGAGCACGTTTGCGAGCTTCATATGTACCAACATCATTGATGAATACTAGGTCCAGTGTTTTACCAAGACGGGTGGCAAAGTTAACGATATTGTCATGACCAAGTGATATAAGGAAGGAGCGACCGCTTCCATTGAAGTCGCCAGTTACTATTGATAAAGAGTTCTCGAAGCAAGCTGCAGCAAAAGCGGTGAATTCATCAGCGAACATAGATAAATCCAATATGGTACAGCCAGGAGAGACATAAACATTAGAAATATAAATGAATTTGTATTTTGACAGGTGTTTCGGGCGACATCTCACAGTGATGCAATCAATGTAGTCATTCGAGAATTTGAGACAAACTTTGTTTGAAATGGACTATTTTGAGTGAATAAAAGTTGCAACACCTCCGCCACATTTTTTCTTGGAACAAAGACGGTCTTGTCGGAAAACATTAAAATTGTTTAGAGACACAATATTGTCATCGTATGAGTCATGGAGCCAGGTTTCTTGTAGAGTGACAATACCAGTATTGTGGTAGGTTCCGGATGACAGCAGGGGCTGAAAATCTAGAATTTTATTAGGCAGGAACCGGCAGTTGGTACTAATGATAACTGGAACAGTGGTGTGATGTATGGGTGTAGATTTTAAGGCACGCTGCCAACCTCCATGTTGCTTTTTCTTGGGTTTATCGGAAATATGAAAGCTTTTGGGTTTAAAACGTTTTATAAAACAGAAAGACTTATACAATAGAAAGACTTTATGTCGATTGGCCTCAAAGCGACTGTTTGAATCCAATAACATCCCACCTATGCATAGTAATCTCATTTCAAAAGTAGTTTTCTGTAAAAACAATCGTACTTCTAGCCGAGAAAATTTGTAGGACAAATCATGATGTATGGTTTCCGTAGTCGACACTTTTTAATCCCCTTCAGAATAGAAAGGCAACACAGTTGATTTGAGTAACTGAGTTTCAGTATAGAACTTTATATAGAAGTGCAGCAGTTCAATTCGCCACTCCCCGTGTAGCACACAAAAGTAGCGGTAAGAAAAAAAATGGAAGTACTATAATAGGTAAAAATGTTCCGGCGGAGGGGGAGGAGAGTAGTGACATGAAATAACATGAGGATCTATTGGACCTTGGACATTGCGAAGAGTAAATGCATCTACGTCATTGAAAACGGTTTTGAGCCATATCCCCAGTAGTCCCTAATATCTCGAGAAATCCAACCAAGGAGTCTACACCCTTCTACGTGGCCGAGGCCATTTGTCAAAGACTTCGTGGATTGATCCTAGGCCATCCTAAGCCAGTTAGCGCAAGTGGTGGCTCAACATAAACAATACGTGCGCGGTACATGTCATTTGATCCATACCTGCATATATTACGTCTATGCCAGAGATGACATGAATTGGCCGTTGAGAGGCAGAACTTTTGTATCAGTGCTGAGGTTGTCTCACCAATCAGTCCATTGGTGCTGATGTAGCTTCTCCAACTTAGTCAATTTCTTTCTATTACCATTTAATTTAATACAGTAGCTGCATTTAGTTCTAACATTTTTCTGCAGAGATTTTTGGTTCGCTATAAGTATACGAATCATTGTGTTGAGGTATAAAATAAGTATGCTTATGTATCCTGCTTAATGTACACACAAGTTTGAATGAATTAATGTTTTGGTTGCTTTAATGATGATTATTCAATACTATCCATTATCTTCTGATAACATATAAACTGTCCTACTATTTTATTATAATAGGCAAATAAATATTGATAGATTGTTGGCATTTGTATAGTTCGTGTACACAATATAACATTTATAAAGTTAACGTAGTGTTCTGCGTGTAAACTTTTCATAATGGTTTTTATATGATGCTTTTGCGACCTAATTTATGGAAGACAGGGTATTGCACATTCAACCATTATATATATATATATATATTCAACAGCACATTATCTTCACATTTTGTATTGTATATGCACATGTTTTATGTTGATAATATGGTTCACAATATAGTACTGTCTTCGTTTTTCTTGTTGTCTTTACACGATTTATCATTGTCTAATTCAAGCATACTGATCATTTGAAGATGACTGACTCACCATTTTGTAATATTGCAAACAGAAAAAGGCGTCAAACACTTCTTATAAACGACTTAGGTCTTCAAATACCTATAGTAGAGATTACGCCTCTCAAGATTACCAAGAAAGTAGATGAATCATCTTCATTTATGAACTCTGCAACTGTGTGCTATAATGATGTCAAAACTGAAATTGACCCACCTGAAAAGTCCGTCATTTACGTGAATCTCGTTGATTCAAAAATCCCAGATGCATGCTTAAAGAGTCTACAAGTTGAATCAGCGAAGCTTGTCAAACAGGAAGTTCAACAACAGGTATGCATTCAAGATACATCAACTATACTTAACGTGTCACTTATGGATTATTTGGTATATAGTGAAAGGTGTGCGGAAGATCTGTCAATCGATATGTCTTCAATAGCTGATGAATGTATAATTGATATTCAGGTAACGAAAAAAAATATACTGTTTGCTTTGATGTGTACAGTTTTGCTTGCCGCCGTTACAATGTTTCTTGATGTCGCATCTTTGTCATCTGTGGATTGTATGCTTATCATATGTCTTGTTTTAAGTGTTCTTGTATACTCAGTGTTGATTGTACGTATGCTTCTTGTTTTAATTTTTCGTTAATTGAATTTGAGATGTTCCCTCTGCAAAATGTATTAACGTTAGAAGGTAAGTTTTAAAATATCTGTTAAATCTTTACATGGGTAATGTGTTGATGTCAATATATATATGGTATATGACGTCTATTTTGGTTATGAATTTCTCAGCCGTACTTTGTGCGCATCAGTATGTGGTTGGGTTTTATTTCTTGTCTTGTTAAACAGGTTTTCGATATTGACGACAAGGAGCGTGTTGAGTTTGTTTTAGTTGGATTGATACTGCATGTGTAGGTATATACGTAATTCCGTTTATGATTGTTATGCTTATTGTTTAACATATTTTTTCCTTTCAAAAACTGAGCTGTTTTTTATTTACCTCATTATTTTCTTGTGCTTTAGGTTAATAAAAAGTTGGCGCAATGTACGTGCTGCAATCGATTACATATGCAGCGTTTAGAAGAAGGTCGATATCGACTAGGTACACGAATTTATTATTTACGCAGGTTTCGAAATCATGTAATGGTTCGAGTTGGTGGTGGCTGGTTAACATTAGATGAATTTTTACAGCGTCATGATCCTTGCAGGCGTGGTATAACTCCATGTTGTACAGAGACATCAGCTGTTCCCCATATCAAATCATGCCTTGAAGTGACTAAGCCAATTCGTAGATATTCTGATTTTGATACATCATCAATTCCTCGTGTAAATTCTGTCAGTAATCTAATGAGGCAGTCGTCCAATAGAAGCAGTAATGGCAGTGTGGAAAGTCCTAGAAGTGAATCCAGTACGGTTAGTAGTACTTTAGATAATGGTATCCTGAATAATGAAAACCTTCCTCCGTTGTCATCAACGATGGTGAATGGAACTAAATCTAAGCAAGTGAAGGCAATTGTTACACCTCGTCCTATTATACCAAAAGCCCCAACTCTTCGAACCGCTTCACGAACTCGTGAATCCTCTAGAAGTCGTGATGATTCCACAACGAAATTACCGCGGACAGCAACTGTTTCAAATTTTAGAGCATTGTCAACGAAAAGAACAAATCCTACTCAAGTTTTAAGAGATTCTAGAGCGGCATCACATTCACGTAATCCTTCTGCAAGGCGTGATGGTTCTTCATCAAGAGTTCCGGACGTCACAACCACTTCCCGTTCTCGCGATTCTTCTGCTAAGCGTGAAAAATGTACTCCAAATAACTCTAGATCTCAATCAATATCCAACCGAACACCTTGGAGGAATTAATATCATATTTCTAAGATTTTTTTCGCTTTCTTTAATTTCATTTGCTTTTCATTGTTATCGTATTTTAATTAACATCGTGTTTTTGATCGTTTAATTTCCTGACATAATATGAACTTTCTTTAACTATTAGTCGTTTTTTTGCTAATGAAAGGTAGGTGTGCTTATATCGTCGTTTATTATTTATTTATTTAATTTTTTTGTATATAACAGTTTCATCTAAGTAACACTGACCACCTATGATTTATAATATTTTTAATTATTTATGCATTCTCATAAGTAATTGTTGAATAAAATCTCCTCACAGTTTAATATGATTCAGTTATCAATGAACCGCTTTGATTTTTTCATGATTGCCAAGTGCGTAAATTTAGTTGTGAGTGTATTCTCCAGGTATGACGGTGTACTGCTGCTCTATACTTATATGCGATCTGCAGGCAACCGTAGATTTTTTGTGAAAGTCTTTATAATATATTATTATCATTCACTCACTGAGTTCCAAGTGGGACGTCGGACACTTTTATTTTTGCTGTCGCTTTCTCTTTGGGTTCAACTTGAGATCCTAGCATATGGTGTCACCTGAGTGTCGAGTGGGCTGTTGGAAAAGTGCAGACTGAATTATGTGCCAGAGTTACTAAGCATATTTAGAGAAAAGCTCACCTACAACATCGCATTTATTCTTCTGTAAATACGCAATAGAATAAAACAAACTGACATGTGTGAAAGTCAACTGATTAAAATAAAGGAAGAGATTGAATGTAAGCAGTTAGACGTGATTCTATATATATATATATATATGGTGTCTAGAAAAATTCTTCTACACTTCAGATAATTAAAAAAAAGAATTTGAGTTATTAAAACTGGATCTGAAAGTTGTTCAGTTGTCTTCGGCATTATTACAAGAAGTGAATTGTGTTTTGAACCTCAGTGAATGAATAGTACTTTCTTATTGTTACACAGCATACATGATAGCCTCTGTGGAACTTGAGTGGGAAACAGTGAGTTGGGCGTTCAAGGGTGACATAGTGGAGGATATGAAAGCTTATGGGCAATCATATACTCAGCTAGAGAGGACTACCGAGAACAGGAGAAAATGCAGATAAGCTGTTGAAGCTCTATATTCCGCTAGGAACTCTAGGGAATAATAATAATAATACATATCACTTATGTGAAACCAATTTGGAGTTACATTCTAACACGATGTTTATATATATATATATATATAAGAGAGAGAGAGAGAGATGGAAAATTCCCATATTGAGTCATAAGAAAAAGACTTAATTAGCGAAGAAAATTTTCTTTTCGACGATTCATTGTCATAAGCTGTACAATTGTAATTATATTTAACAAAGAAACCATAAGATCACGTCATATACCGGTAAAGTGTCTTCGAAAAACGTGTTACGTAATCTAAGGTGTAACCTAGAAGGGGTGACTAATTAATAATAATAATTGCTTTATTCCAAAAACAGTACTCATGATACAGCAAGGAATTTTCAGCATTCAGTACAATATTGCATCTAATTTACTCAAAAACGACAACAACAAAAAATTAAAAATACACAATACATAATAGTAATAAAACGATTGTTGTAGCAGCTACGTAGCAAGATACTGTATGCCATACGGAGAAAAATATGTATAAAGTACAAAATTGTAGTAATAATAGTAATACCAACTAATATAAAATAGCAGAGTAACGATTTAAACGATAGAAAGTGTGACACCATAAAATACAGAAAGATGAACGATGAAAGGGTCGATTCACTGTGCTAATTACATAGTAACTTGTAAGTTTCACGTCTAACAGAGTCTTCGTCACATAAAGTACGCGCTAAATAGGGTATTGTAGAATTTCTATACTTAGTGGTACGAGCACATAACTTTTTATATTGACTTCTCGTCCTACCTGATGAGATACAAGGGGACAGGTGTGAATAAAGGGGGTGCAGAGGGTCTGACATTATAGCATTTGCCCATTTCGTACAGGAATTTATATGCCTCTCGACTATAGTATTAGCGAGCTCATGCAATGGCAGACCACAAGCTCTACTCACAGCATTTAATACTCTTCGTAATATGATATAATCTCTTTTGAGAAGCTCAGGAAAGACTAATGGAGAGCAATGGAGTACAATAGGTAAGATACAGGAGTTTAAAAATTGCAAAACTAAAGGTTGGTTGATACCTGATTGTCTTAACTTTTTAATATAGAAGGTGAGACGAAACATTTTCTTAGAGATTGATAAGATGTGTGATGACCATGAAAGGTAAGAGAAAAGAACTAATCCAAGGTATTTAATGCTTGACTTGGTTTCAATTTCCGTGCCATCTATGCTACAGGGATCATGCAAGCTAACTAGTTCAAGTAAGTCACGTCGATGCTTGAAAGTAAAGTCAAGCGCCTGACATTTGGAAGGATTTAATATAAGACCATTCGACTTGGACCACTTGTTGATGTCCAACAGAAAGCTATTAAGTTTGGAGCTGTCAGACTCGGAAGTGATAGGGAGTGATACAGTCAGATCATCTTCATATTTGACAAAGTTAGTTTCGTTTGAATGAGGCAGGTCATGTAGGAAGAAAGAAAAAAGAAAAGGAGAGAGGACAGCACCTTGTGGAACACCGGACTTTGTAAGCGAGGTAGAAGATTTGCCGTTATATACAGTATACTGTATTCTATCAGAAAAATAGGAATGCAACCAACTCTTTGCCCAGGATCCTGTTTGTGTCAACGATAGCTTATTTAACAAAAGGCCCCTAGGTACAGAGTCAAAAGCAGATGTGTAGTCTAAGAAAGCACTACGAACATATTTAGCACCTTTGTCTAAACAAGAGACAACATTGTGACATAAGACGACCGCAGCATCCAAGGTACTTCTACCACGTTTGTATGCAAATTGTTTAGGATCATTAAAAGGTTTCAATGCGGGTTCAACACGAAGTAAAAGTAATTTTTCCATCAATTTTAAAAAGGGAGAAGTAATTGCAATAGGCCGAAATTTAATGTCAGAACCAGAAGATGGTTTTGGAATAGGGATAATTTTAATGTTTTTCCATGCAAAAGGTAGAACGTTACCGTAAAAAGAGGCATTAAAAATGTTAGTAAGAGGGTAACACAAAATATCAGCACAGTTCCTGAGGACAATGGCGGGTATGCCGTCAGGACCAAGGCTTTGAGAAGGCTTAAGAGACCGGAGACATTTATGCACATCAAGGGTATTAAAACCACTAAAATTATTGTCAGTATGATTTGTATCATTTGGAAGGGTATCAACAGAAGAGCGTATGAAAGATTTATTAAGAGTGTCGACATTAAGAGATGGGACAGAAACACATCGCTTACCGTTAGTAATTTCTTTGAAGAGTTTCCACAAATTAGAAGGGATTTTACATGACAAAAATCTTTGATTATATAAAACATTTAGTCTTTTCATTTCTAGTTTTATCACAATGTTTAAATTTTTACACCAGGCCTATCATTTGTTTTGAACAACAGTTTTTTATTTCTACGTAGCTTTTTCAGATAGGGCAAAGATAAGCGATCAAGTCGAATGAATAATGTTTCTTTAGGACAACATATTTCGAAACAGAATTTAAGATAATCGGTAGTGTTTGAGATTGCTTCATCTAATGTTTGTTCTGTAAATAAGTCCCAGTTAGTGTCTTTCAACATGCATCTGAGCTTGTTTAGGTTGTCTTGTGAGTAACATCTCCGTTGAACTTTACTGTAGAGGTGAGAGAGGACACCTTTGTGTGATTTGGAATATATTTTAGGCAGTACACGTATGATGCAGTGGTCAGAGTTAAGTAAAGGAGCACGTTTGCGAGCTTCATATGTACCAACATCATTGATGAATACTAGGTCCAGTGTTTTACCAAGACGGGTGGCAAAGTTAACGATATTGTCATGACCAAGTGATATAAGGAAGGAGCGACCGCTTCCATTGAAGTCGCCAGTTACTATTGATAAAGAGTTCTCGAAGCAAGCTGCAGCAAAAGCGGTGAATTCATCAGCGAACATAGATAAATCCAATATGGTACAGCCAGGAGAGACATAAACATTAGAAATATAAATGAATTTGTATTTTGACAGGTGTTTCGGGCGACATCTCACAGTGATGCAATCAATGTAGTCATTCGAGAATTTGAGACAAACTTTGTTTGAAATGGACTATTTTGAGTGAATAAAAGTTGCAACACCTCCGCCACATTTTTTCTTGGAACAAAGACGGTCTTGTCGGAAAACATTAAAATTGTTTAGAGACACAATATTGTCATCGTATGAGTCATGGAGCCAGGTTTCTTGTAGAGTGACAATACCAGCATTGTGGTAGGTTCCGGATGACAGCAGGGGCTGAAAATCTAGAATTTTATTAGGCAGGAACCGGCAGTTGGTACTAATGATAACTGGAACAGTGGTGTGATGTATGGGTGTAGATTTTAAGGCACGCTGCCAACCTCCATGTTGCTTTTTCTTGGGTTTATCGGAAATATGAAAGCTTTTGGGTTTAAAACGTTTTATAAAATCCCGGGAGTGAATAATACGATTAGAATGCATAATATGATATGTAAACACCAGTAAAATATGAGTAAATAGATGCAAAATGTTCATGGAATGTGGTAGCTCAAAATGTTCAAACAGGCCGCCAAGGTCATTGGACCACAGACCACAGTTAGCAAGCCAACAGAACCCATTCATACATCTTATATATCTAGTGGGTAGCATGTGCTGATTTCCGCAAAAGACTTGCCATGGTCTGATGAATACCAGAAACAGATACCAACACTTCATTCTTATACTGGCAACAAATTACCGAATACACATATCGGTTATACCTTAGGGCAGGATTTTCACCAGCGTCAGTTAACAGAAACACCTGGAATCATGCATATAGCACGCATGATATCGGATCAATTCCTTGCTGGCATAGCGAACAGTCTACAGCTAGGGCAAGGCATATTTCCCGGGAGATAGCTGACACAGTGTCGACACCAAACGCGGATACTAATATCTCTAAAATATTAATATCTGATTATCACACAGGTGTCTCTCACTGCATACCATATCCAAACGTAAGCCCATCCCTGACTACCACCTCAAAAATCTACCTGAAGTCTTCCTACGATCCAAAGATATTGGTAAATGAGTCTGATAACATGTATATAGAGGATACTCACGGATTATTTTACCAAGATGTTGTCCGCTCACTGAAACCACATAGCCAGTGTTTATCTATTATCCTAGTAAATACGAGATCAGTTCTAAGCAAACATTTAGCACTAAGTACAATAGCTTCTATATGCAGACCGTCATTGATTATGATCACCGAAGCCTGGTGCACAAGTGAAATCTCCAATGACAGCCTAAGGATTGATAAATACAACCTTTTTCGCGGGGACAGACGGACAGGTCGTGGGGGTGGAACACTAATTTACTGTGAACAATCCATGTGTGCAACCCAGTTTAGTAACCCAATTCTGTCACAACTCAATGACTCGATCTGGGTCGAAATAAAAGTTGTCAGAAGTAAACCTATACTTGTGGGTTGTGTGTACCGGCCCCCTTCATCCAGCAGGGAATATGATAATATGCTTAGCAATATCTTTAATGTTACAGCCAATCTTCCTTTCAGTTATAAAATTATCGGAGGCGATTTCAACTTGCCAGAAGTATCATGGTCTTCACTCCGAGGACCCCAAAGGTACGATAATCTCATAAATTCCATCGTCACAGGAGGGTGGACACAACACATAAATTCACCCACTAGATCCGCAAATATCCTAGACCTTATTTTCACGAACAACATAACGCCATCTACCGTACATGTTGGACATGAATTTCCAGGTAGTGACCATAGAATAGTAGTTTGTTCTTTTGACATCTTTCCTGAAACAAAACGCAGAGATGAAGCTGGCCAGATACCTATGAGATTGTACACACATGCTGACTGGGACTTGTATCAGCACCTAATTAGATGTTCTAATTGGGACTCGTACTTTTCGAACCAGTCCTTAGATGCAATTCTTAACAACTTCTATCAGAATATTAACTCAATTCACGACGTCATTGCACCCGAGAAGATTCTTAACTTCAGATTCCCCCAAAGTGATTATATTCCGACATCGTTTAGAAGAAGTCTACGTAAGCACTCAATAAAATACTACAGATATCATGACTTATCGTCATTAATTGCCATAACGTCCCTTCTCAGTAGAATTGAAGAGTTGAGAAATATAGGCCTCAGAAACAAAGAAATGCAGGCCATTCATGCACCGCATAACTCAGGAGAAATAGCCAAACTTTTTAAAAGTAGGTTGATGAACTCCAAAACACCCTATCCGAAAATAATATACTTAGACGGCATTGCTTACGAAAATAATGAGGCGATATGTGAACTGTTTAGCAAGCACTTCGCCAGATTATACACCTTAGAGAACGATGAAGTCGTGGATTTCCCACGTAAAACAGACGAATGTTTAAGTGACATAATTTTCACCACACATGAGATCGATAAAGCTGTCGCAAATCTTAAGCTTAGTAACACTACTGGCCCAGACGGTATATCTTCCGTTCTGCTGAAAAAAGGTGGTAATGACATGAGTTTACTCTTACTCAAGTTATACTCAATTTCATTAAGCGATGGGACATACCCTAACTGCTGGAAGAAGTCTTATATTGTACCTATCCATAAATACGGGCCTATAGCTGATATCAACAACTACCGCCCCATCAACATCACGTCTGTAGTTTCACGTGTAATGGAAAAGATAGTTAAGACTCAAATCATTCAGTACTTGCTGTCAAATGACCTACTATCCCCATCCCAATACGGTTTCTTAAGTAGAAGGTCGTGCATTACTTGCCACTTAGATTATTTTGACTACATCACACAAAGCATTGATAATGGGCGTTCGGTAACAACATTGTTTCTTGACGTTAGCAAGGCCTTCGATAAAGTCCCACATATCAGACTCCTAACAAAACTCCAATCCTACGGAATAACCGGAAATCTTCACAAATGGATAAGTTCTTTTCTCACAGAAAGAGAGCAATTAGTCAAAATCAACCACCAGTTGTCTTCCTCAAAGCCGATAACCAGTGGTGTAATACAAGGTAGTGTTCTTGGCCCTATTCTATTCCTCTTATTTATAAATGACATAGTCTCTGTAATCAAGTATGGCAAGCCATACCTTTTTGCAGATGATCTCAAGATAGTATATGATTATGGGTACGGTGATATGAGCGTCGAAAGCAAGATCCAACAAGACTTAAATGATCTAGGCGATTGGAGCGAAAAGTGGCAACTGACTTTCAACCCAGACAAGTGCGGTATAACCCACCTTGGACGCTGGAAACCGATAATGTGCCTATATATGTACGGTAAGCTCCTCTCAAAACTGAACACAGTCACAGACCTCGGGATAACATACTCAGATTTATCCTTTTCCGATCATGCAAATAAGGTTGTATCTGACTGTAAACGACTTACTGGCTTTGTACTGCGTAACTTCTACACCCAAGAAGCAAGATTAGCTATATATAGGACATGTATCCGTCCCAAACTTGAATATTGTGCTCTCCTATTTAGTAACCTCAGGACTGTAGACAGAAAAAAAATCGAAAGTGTCCAGAGATTCCTCACGAAACGCATAATAGGGTTCGACCAACAAGTGGAATATGTTGACAGGTGTGTACGTCTGAAATTAGAGCCTCTGTGGTTAAGGAGAGTGAAGTGCAACCTATTTCTACTCTTCAAAGTCATTAGGAAACACTGCTACAGTAACTCATCCATAACTTGGGAAAATATTAAATCATATCAGCTGCGAAACCACGACTACCTTGTCAAGGTGGCTACCCACAGAAAATCCATTAGGGCAAACTTTTTCACCATAAAATATTGCACTCTTTGGAACCAACTACCACCTGAAATAAGATGTTGTGAAAACCCTGATGGGTTCAAACGGAGCCTAGAAAGACACTTTAACATGTCCACCCTAGCTCGTCTAAAAGACCACAACTGTTGGTAGAACGGAAATTGAAGGCCAGTCCAGTCTTCAGTATAGTCACATACGTATATCTCGACTCTAATACTCACGCAGCGAACGTTAACTAATTTACTGATTTCTATTCTCTATAATTTTCACTAAGTTGTGTTGGTAAAAGTAACACTGGAAATAATTGTAATAGCATCCACACCTTTTAACGTTTTACATATGTATATACTAATATAATAATACTTATTAATCATGCATGTTCAACTCTTAAATTAGATGGATATTAAAATACTTAAAATTAAAATATTTATGCATCAAATGTTCTCTTGCTTTACCACGCTTGTTTCCCTTATAACACTCAATTATTGAACCTAGTGTAATATTTGATATACGAACTATATTATTGATTATACTCTTATCATATATGGTTTGATTTACTCTACGGCTCCCTGTAGACTAACCACCATTCTTCAGTATACACACACTGCAGTATTGTTAAAAAATGCCAAAATTTCGTTGGTTCTGTGTTAATATCTTTTTATAATATGTCTAGACACGTTACTTTGCAATGTCAGATGTTTACTATATATAAGTACACTAAGTCCTGCCAACCGACCTTACCTTCAGTCCATACTACCTAAATTGAACCTTAACTATAGTATTCTGCTAAATCTTGCTCCACTATTCACAATACCTATTCGTTTTACTCTTTAAGGTTTTAACTTCTTATAAAGTAATCTGTTCATCAGGATGCATGCACACATATATAATATGTTCTAAAGATGTACGTGGAGACCTATTGGAAGCACTCATTAAGAAAGCTAGGGAGATGGAATATGGGGTACGAACATGTCTGGTACCAAGCAATATATTTGCGGTAGCCATAATAATCATAGTCTCAGAGCCTAACATCAAAAAAGGAGGGAGGGTGGTGCTAGCTGATCAGTAGATATGGTGGTGGTCACTAAGGTGAATCGCCCCATTCTGCAGGAACAGCAATATACAAATTAAAGGCTCGAGATATTTCTGATTTTTATGAGGGCTTAGATCTTTATCTTGAAAAAGATAATAGTGAACGCCTTGACAGATAATGCTTCTACCTTTAAATATATACCATTCGCTCAGCCTATTGTTGAGATGCGACCACGTGGGATCTGCACAGATTTATGGGGCATCTTATGAATTAACTTGCTATCCATTGTCAGATCTTTAAATACCACTTCACAATATCTTGTCTCACTTATTTTCTAATAACGTCTTTACTTGATTCTCATTATATTCCATTAAACCTAACATTTTATAGCTCTTTATGAATTTGATTCGACTTATTCTATTCCTATTCTCTGGAGGGTACGGTTGTGCACCAAATAGAAAAAAAGACATGAAATAAAACAACTGGCTTGAAAATAATTGTATTAAAGCCAAAAGTGGACATCATGATAGTAAAAATATATTGGTTTCATTATACATTGCAAATGAACGTTGTCGGCCTAAGGATTAATTACTTCCCCATTCTGTTTTCTATATAAATGTGTTTATTAATGATATATTTCACTCACTTAATCTATTACACTTTAATGTTTCACAACAGCACTTTAATTTTTCTAAAACAGCTTCCAATCCCTTGTAAACGTTGTACTTACCTCAATATTG